TTTTTTTTTTTTTCAACAGGCGTGTTTGAAACTATGTGAAGCGAATACTTCGATAGAGAAGTGCGGTTGTGTTAAACCGATTTACGATATCAATCCATCATGCGATCCCTTTAATGAGACTGACAGTAAGTGAACCGGAATAGCAAAGACGAGAACGAGTCAAACATCCATTTTACTGAACAAACCTCTGGGCTAATCCAAGTTAGATCAGAGCTCGTAGACAAATTGGAATTTAGCTGTTACRTTTTGCTACAGTTAACTAACTATACTAACTATTGTTTTTGGGAGGGAGGACTATAGATTAAAGAAAATCCAGAGAAGAGACCTCTTCGGCTTGGGGTAATGTTTTCCCATTCCAGACCACGTTTAATTCCCTTGAGAATAAGATWCTTTGTTTAAGCTGTATCCATATACATGTGTCTTCTCATGTGCAACCGAGAGCAAACCTTGAACAAAGAAATGATACTCTAGGGAATGACGYGGTCTGAAATGGGAAAACATTACGTCAGAGCCGAAGAGGTCTATTGGGAAAAAATCCTCCGATGAATCAGGAGACACAACAAACTCTACTCAAATGTGATGCTGGGTTCAGGAATCGAATGTGAGACCCCAGAAGTGAGGGGAGTGTGCGCTACTGCTACGCCACCCTTTATTAACAAATAACTGTAATTATTCTGCTTATTTATTCTGCTTCTATGAAAGGAGCATGCCTGAAAGAAATGGAAGAGTCTTCTCTGGAGAAGGCTTTACTAGAATGCAAATGCTACCCACCATGCAGGTACGTCTCTCTCGCCTCCCTCCCTCCCACCCTCCCTCCCTCACTCCCTCCCTCACTCACTCCATCCCTCCCTCCCTCCCTCCCTCCCTCCCGCCTTCCTTTCTTTCTTCCTTCTTCTTTCCTCCTTCCCTCCCTACCTCCCTCCTCAGTTTTCAAACCTATAGATACGCTCATCTCAATTCACTCACAAGAACCACATTAACACGGCAATCTCGAATAATTTTAGTGAAACCGTTTACGAGTACTCGTCATCTTTCTCTGTTTGGCCAAGCGAACAAAGCTGGGTAAGAGAGATGATCTTAACATGAATATGTTGCATGATTTACCAGCTGACCGACCGACCGACCAACCGACCGACCGACCGAATGTCCGACTGATTGCGGTCTGCATGGCGAACTGACTTACCAACTAAACGAAAATTTTAGGCCATTTTTAATAACCGATTTCTTTAGATATTTTTAAAGCAAGACTTAGAAAACCGGACCTCACGCCCTATTGTCTCGTCATTGAAGTATGCAAGGTAATTCTAACACCGTTATAATTGGTAGCTTTCAATATACACTGCATACTGAATAGYGCATTCCAAAACTAAAGGGCATTGTGGGTCTCGTTAATTTGAAATAAAAAGTAAATATACAGCAATTAATTCTCTACATGTAGTTAGTATATTGTTTCAGATAGAATACACTAAAAATAGATTTAAATTTTTTTATTAATTCTACTTTAGACAATGTCACTATGACCCACAATGCACTTCGGTCTTGGAATGCACTATTCAGTATGCAGTATTCAAACTTTTTTGAAATAGCTGTAAGTAACAATCAAACATGCTCAACTAATTTCTTATGGGGCGATATTAATGAGTTTTTTCTTTTCTTTTCAAGGGAAAACTTACTCAATGTCCACATTTTCTACAAAACGCTCGGTTTTCGTACTACGGTAGAAATGGAGGGATATAAGGTCAGGTAGACAATTTTAAATATCTATAAATTCCATTCGTTCGTTTGTTTTATTTCATTTATCGCTTGCTCTTTCTTTCCCTCGTTAAACTTTTTTTCCAATTATTTATTCCTTCACTCAAGAAGTTCGCAATTTTTTTTTTCAAATTCGTTTAGGTTTTCATTCGTCTTAGTAGCCATTTTTCCCTTTTCTTTCTATACCTTGCATTATGGATTTCTGATATATATCTCAATTCATTAATGTACTTTTTTATAAATGTTCTTTTACAGTTGGAAAATCTAATAGGTGACCTCGGCGGTCAGTTTGGTTTGTTTGTTGGGATGTCTTTGCTCTCACTGGTCGAGGTTTTYGAGCTTGTCATTGACCTCATCACACGACTGCTGAAACGCGACCACAACAATGTGCGAAGCATATCCAGAAAAAGCCATGTTGAAACGGAGACATAATCTATATCATAGATACCATAGAGGCATAGAGACCATAACCGGCTCGCTAAAAGCAATGCAATTACCCTGCGAGCAGAGCTTTTTTTTTTTTCCTGACCCTCCGTGGGATGGCTGGTCCAAAACTTTGGAGACGGCTTCTACAAACAAAACGACAGATTGAGGGCAGAGGTATATTTTCTCCCCGACCAGCCATCCCACGGAGGGTCAGAAAAAAAACTTTGCTCTCAAGGTACAATGCAATATACAAAATTCTTAAAAACATGAAAGAAAGACAGTTTGGTTACATGAAAGAAAGACAGTTTGGTTTTGCAGAGGGAGCCAAAAAAATTCCGTAGAGAAGTTAGACGAAAACGCAATTGCACTATTTTTTTCAATAACATATAAGATTAATCACGAGCTCAAGAATATTTAATTGAATTTTTATTAGTTTTGAGTTGCTAATATGATATCGTAGAGAGTTTAATGTTTAAACTTGGTTTTTAATTTTGAATACATGGAAATATTGAGAATATAATTACGGAAAGTCCAGCTCTCCTTTCCTGTTAAAAACTACAACACATGTATAAAAATTAATTTTTKCAAGCTACTCTAAAATGGAATACATTTTCAAACACAAGTCAAAAGTGGCAACTTAAATCGGAAAACGGTTTTCTTCGATTAAATGCTGTCTTTACATGCTGTCTTTGCACTTTGAATAAAATACAAGCATGCTTTTTACAATAGTGGTTACGCTCTGTTTCTTCATTAGTTTATTTTCGAGTGTCTTAAGATAACACTTTTTATAGTTTAAATTTACTTTTGTTTAAATAAAAATGGAGGCAACCATTTTGAAAGGTAACCGCGCCTCTGGCTGGAGGCCAGGCTTTTCCGATGCTTATTTCTTTAGTTGGCGTGCATTTTAGTTGAGCTGCGAGTTTTTGCTAATGTTGAATCTTTTTTGCTGATTTTGTTCGATTTTTTTTTTTTACAAATTAAGCTTTAAGTTTTCAACGCTAATTATAAAATAGCCACAAAATGGATTCAAATGACATAATCATTCAGTTATTAGAGTAATATTTCAAAACGTTAGCAATTTTAGATGATTAATGGATAACCGATTTCAGGAGACTGAACCTGTAACTAAAGGCTCATAGCTTCTCTTGCTTTTTAAGTTTACGCTAACATTTTGAAACATGCCAAGCATTTACTATATATTCTTGCTCAAAGCGCATGCGTAATGGAAAGTCGAGCCTCAAAAAGGCGGGAAAATAAAGCCCAAGACAAAATAGCTCGTTACCACGGAAACTAAGTTGCAAAGAAATTGACGTCATTTTGCAAATTCACCATTTTATTATCTCGCACTTATAGCAGCAAGAAACAACAGTATATAGCTTGTATAATAAATCTTTGTTTAAAATTCTAGAGTACAATGTTGGGCCTTCTATGTACAAAAGATGGCATAACCAAATCACTTGTAATGTTAAGAGACATTAATCTAATATTGAATATATATTTACCTAAAACTAAACAAATTAACACAATTTTAACCTTAATGTAAAATATAGGCACAAATTTAATGAAATTTAAAAACGAAAGTTTGCGAAAAATTTATTGGAGCATTCTTTGATTGCACGTTACGTCATCGCAGCCTCTCGGGGAAGCGTTGGTGCCATTTAATAAAATACTTCTCGTTAGCATCCATCGTTAACGCACAATGGCCGCCATGCTTTTGTTTTTAACTCTCTTGGGAATGCTTGCAACCATCAATAAGCAAAATACAAGTGCAAGATGTGTAACACAGCCTTAATGAATGCACCAAATTACTATCTTGATTATATACTTGGATTATTTACTTTGAGTCAATAATTTGGATAATATACTTTCTAGACATGCTATTTATATATAATTTGTTTTACAAAATGTTGAAAGGCACTTTCAAATAAATATACCTCCGTGACAGAAGAAAGCGTGACAGACTGTGTTACACCAATAAGTCACGTGCTTAAAAGTGACGTAATAACCTATCAGAACCCCGAAAAGAATTATGGTCCCTTAAAAATAATTAAACGAAAATACCCATATATATTCGTTCTTTTTATGAACATTGCCCTCATATGGATATTTTCAATATATGGTTGAATTATTTGGGATAACCACAATTCTTTTCGGAAATGAAAAAAATAACTCGTAAAATGTTTGGGAAATTTGACTTTCTACCTTTCTTACATAAAACAACCAATTCCACTGCTGTTAAAATACTATAGGCAATAGCCATTTCATTTTTTTAGGAAGCACTCCCACAAAAATAAAAGAAGCATTCCATGTCTTAAGAATAACACGATCTACAATAATTTTGGTTGAAACAATAAAATTATATAACTACATTATTTTTTCTTTTTTGAACTTATATGTATTTAAGAAATTACTTATAAGGATTAATGAAGACTAGATATACAACTTATTGGGAAAATATTGACCAAAAACTAAAGGCACAAATATTGCATGCTAAAAGTAAAAAGCTTCTTGGATAATGAAGCGTCCAATTGAGGAAGGTTGTATATTTTTCTTGTGAAATCTCAACAAAACTTTATTTTACATTGACAAGCCCAAAGACTTTCAGTGTTAAAAACAAGTAATGTATTACTGTATATACGTCATGAATGAATTTCTTATTGTATTTTTACATAAAACACAAAGTCCGAGCACACTTCTTCAAAAATCCTACTTGTTCGAATTATTCACAATTATTTATACCACATTTGGTCAATATTTTCACAAAGTAAAAGTATATTTAAAATCAAAGTTCTCAGCACTCACAACTAACGCCAACCATTGGCTGTAACATCCAGTCGCTGTCGCTTCGGCATGTTGTTCTCACTCATATCCATTTCTCTCCCTTCCCTACTCRGTGTCTGTCGACAGTAGGGCGATGTTGGAGAGACCGATGATCGAGAACCTGGAGATGATGGATCGTGTTCTGTGACTGGTTCTGATTTGACGTTGACAAGATTATGGCTTTGAGAAGAACTAGGTACAGTCAGTCTGTTGCCTAGTAGGTTTGCTCCCCCCATAAGGCCTGGGTTTCTGAATTAAACAAAAAACAAAAAACAAAAATTATTAAAGCAAGAAATGTGAGGAATGTTTAGTAGTTAGTAGAGACACTCAAAGAAGTTTTTTCGTGATTGGATAATTTAAATTTTCCAGTTTTGTGATTGGCTCTGAGAGAAGCCATCTCAAAGTCATGTGGGTATTTCAGGGTTCGTGCTGAGGTAACCACTTCAAATTCAAGGACTATTCAAGGACTATACAAGGACCCAAAAATGAATTTTCAAGGAGTATGTTCAGCTAAATATGCCAAGTTTTTACATGGTGGTTGCACATGGCCGACATTCAGATTTTCTGATCTTTCTGACTAGATCTATGTCAGAACCATGCAAGTAATGATCAAAGCAAAAATTCAATCAGTTTTCAAGGAGTTTCGCTAAAATCGTAAAATTCAAGAGCTTTTCAAAGGAGTTTAAGGAGTAGTACAAACCCTGGTATTTGTTTGAACAAGAATACCAAAAAAAGTTGCTCAAACATTAACTAGATTCTATTCTTAAACTCTTTTACTCACCCTTGTAGAAAACTTAATGCCTGCAAATTCTGCAGATTTATCTGCTGCTGTAGAAATGCTTGTTGTTGTGGCAGTAATTGTGGAAACTGCCCAAGTTGCTTCAACACATCTGCACTGTCAGGATGTAGTTCACTTGGGAATCCAGAAGGCATTGACGTGAATGAAGGTGGAGCTGCTGGATTACTTGGCGTTGCAAGAGAAATAACTGGAGTTGAGAGTCCATAACTCCCCTGAGAAAACTGAACTTGAGAATTGGATGACAAATTGCCACGATTACCCTGAAGAAAAAAATATTGAAAAATTTTACATCTGTTTTTAAATGGAAAATAATGAGTTGATGAAAATTTTTTTCTGGTATTGAAGAATGAGAATACATGATGGATGAATGGATGGATGGATGGATGGA